ATTGATGTTTACTTGAATTATATTCTTAAAAAATTCTCATCTGTTCTGTTTTAATTGTAAATGCAGTTCGAACACACTGAATTCGAGGTCTTTTGTGAGATGCCCGGAATCAATGAAATGTTCAAAGCCTTTAGTGAAGAATACAGGAAAAGAAATGAAGAAAGTTCAAAGGTAAGGATTCGAGAGGCTTGATGAAGATTTTACGTATCACAGTAATTAGATAAGCTAAAGCATAAAGTTCTTACATATGTAAGTTCCTTGGAAGAGAACACAGTCTAGTTAAGCTAGCTTGTAGATGACTGAAATAGCTAATAAGTTTCAGCATCACACAAAGGTTTGACAAAAGACTGCATGCAGTTGTTGGAAAGTTGATGAGCATAATGTGTTCACAACAGATATAGTAAAGCTTAATTAGCTACAAAAGGCTTACAAAATAATGGAGCCAAATTCTAGTTTTGTTAAATATACAGGTTTGCGTTACTAGTTTGGAGTAGAAGGATCGATGTCAGCTACACTTGACTCACCTCTAAAGCTAACTAGTCTGAATGAGATGATATACACAAGCGTGAGCTTGGCTTCAAGCTATAACTGAGCAATATATAGTTATTACTTATTAATCAATTTTAATACATCCTAAAAAAAATCTACAGAATTTAGAAGAGCAATAGAATCGCACATCACAGATTTCACTTAGGCATAATTTAGATAATTAGCAATGTACAGGCCAAGTCTTGACGGTTAGCATAAGCATTTCATAACAAAATTAGGCATGAACGGAAGTTAAACATGATGTGGTGTACATCAACAAAATAGGTTTTCCTGCATTTCATTATTAGCTATAGAATGCAGGATTAGTCTTGATATAAATGAGGCTTAAACAAAGAGAGTGCAAACATAAACACTACAAAAATAAATTGAGTATAGACTAAATGGCTATGGAGTCCACTGTCCACTAGTGTGCATGTACTCACACTCTAGTAATGAAGCTAGCGTCAGCACATCCCTACTGTATGCACAGAGGTCCACTATTCTCATTAGATCCATAACATGTTAAGCCAAAACATTACACTCACCTACATATATACAAGATCATGCAAAACACAATCTGTTTATAACATAAATCATCTTTAGAAGCATAAAAATATACATTCATGTCATTCAGCTTACATTAAATTTCTCTTGAGTTAGTCTTTGGCTGATGACTGTAAAAGAAGTGGTGTGGGAGATACTTTAGGGATGGTAGTATGGTTTTTCTATCATGTTAGCATATGATCTGAGTATGTTTATACAGAATATGTGGTTGGTGTTTGGCTATGGTGCTGTTTTGAGTGGAATCCCCATACTCACACCGCCTTGGAGTTTCAAACATCTCCCTGTTTCTTCTTTATATGGTTTTCAAGTCTTTTTTGTATGTCTATCTCATTTCAAGGATGTGGATTGCCACAATGGTGCAGTAATCCCTCCATAGTTAATCTCCTATATGTCCACTCTACTTTTAAGCAAGCCAAGTGAAGGATGAGGCAGTAACGTACAAGCTTAAAAGGAAGCTCCCAGTACTAGATGATGAGCCCTTGGGCTTACAGCTGAGTTTCCACCTTCCAGCTTACTCTCCAAGCCTAGGGCTGTAGAAAACTTTTTCTCCAGAAACTGCTCTATGTTTCGTTATGCAGTTTTCCTTGTATGTTATTTTGTGGATTTTGTGTAGGTCCTACTGTTTAGGATCTGTTTAGGATCTGTTTACTTGTATTATAATATAACAGATGAGTTTATTTCCCAATAATATAATAGTTTATTTTTGGCAAAAAAATGGTTTCATGCTAATGATTGAATTGATATTGTTTTGAATGATTGATGTTTACTTGAATTATATTCCTAAAAATTCCTCATCTACTCTGTTTTATTTGTAGATGCAACATCTACTCAAAAAATATGAGGGATTTTGTAAGGAGCCCAAAATTATTGACGAGCTCAAAGCTTGTTGTGAAAAGTACAGGAAAAGAATTGAAGAAAGTACAAACGTATGATCGATTATGATCTTAATTTATGCACTTTCTATCAACCAAACTGATTTATTAACCAAGAAGGCACTGGCATGATGAGAATGAGATCCTATAAAAACCTTCTAGTAGTTCAATTGATGGTGATTAGCTTTTTAGTATACAGTTGCTGATATTAGAGCCAAGCTTAATAGTTTGCAGTTATTTAGTTAATTTAGTTGCATTTAGTGATAGTTTTTCTTTGTAATTAAATATTTCTGTTTGAATTATATATTTGTAAAGTGAATTCATTACTCTTCAGAAATGGCAAGAACTGTTCAAGAAATTTTCTGAGGAGGGAGTTACTGAGAAGTTCAAGGCTGTTTGTTTAAAGGTGTGATGATCTTTCTCATGAGTTTCTTATCCAAAACTTTTCTTTATGCACTAGTAATTCTATATATAAAAATGCAGTCGACAAGATTGAACAATACAATTTTACTTCCCTTTCCCTTGATCTATTATTTGACTAATCTTTGTTTTAATATAGGTTGAGGAAGAGGAAGAAAGAAAATTCAATGAAGAATTCAAGAAGCTTTGTGAAGTATGGGAGGAGGTACTTCCTTCCAACCATCTTTTCTTTTTGGTAGAATTTAATACATTAATTACATCACTCTTTATCTGACTCTTTCCTACTCCTCTTAAGTTCCACTTCCAAGTAGATGTTAGCGTTTTAAGATGTTGTAATTTTGTAATTTGTATCTCCTATGGAATTAGTGTTTTGACTTATTTTTAATTTATTAACTTTCAGGACCTGTTGGTGTTATATATAGATGTTATGTTGCATTTATGCTTTTGTCATTTCTAATTACAGAACTACTAGTGTTTTAACATTTTCTTAACCTGCAGAAGCTTCAAATTGAAATGATTCAAACGGAGGGACTAGAAGGTGTCACTGGCATGAATTCAAGTAGCCTGCAGAACCTTGGTATGGGCCAAGGATTTTGGTGCACTTTGCCAGCCAACCTGGGGCTGCAAGTCCCCTTTGCTGTCTTAATTTTTGTGGGCTAACTCTTTTGTTTTGAATGTGACAGCAATGGGAATTCCATTTGAGCCAGAAGGGAAGTTAAAGAGAAAAAGAGAGGAAGAACTAGATGGAACCCATAGGGACAAAAGGCCTGCAACTGCTTACCCTACTCCAAGTCATCCCTCAATTAGTGGGTTTATGGCTGAGGCTCATGAGTCAGCTGCTGCACTGACTGCTCAACGATCTCTGTTCTCAAGTGACGAAGGTACACAAATAAAAATGACAGAGGCTGCTCATGACAGGGAGGCCTTGAGCTCATCATGGGCACCTCCGCAGGTGGAGCCGAAGACGTTCACTTTTGATGAGCTTGGACAAGTGAGCATTGAAGGACCTAGTTTGTATTCTGTTCTGCAGGTACACGTTCAGATAAGAAATGCACAGTCTATTATTCTATGAATTTGGTCTTTTGGAGATTTACATATTTTGTGATACTAGTTTAAGCTCTCATCTTTAGTAGTCCTTATGGTATGAGCATAAAGTGTTTACAAACAAGTAGAGTAAAGCTTAATTAAATACGAAAGGCCTAACAAAACAATGGAACCAAATTCTAGTTTTGGTAAATATACAGGTTTGCATGACTAATCTAGAGTAGTAGGATTGATATCAGCTACTCTTGGCACACCTCTTAAGCTAGCTAGTCTGAAATGAGATGATATACACAACAGTGAGCTTGGTTTCAAGCTGTAACGGAGCCATTAAAATTATATAGTTATTAGTCAATTTTAATACATGCTAAAAACAACCTACTGAATTAAGAAGAGGAATAGATATGCTCATGACAGATTTCTCTTATGCATAATTTAGATAATTAGCAATGTACAGATCAAGTCATGACAGTTAGCATTAGCATTTCATAACAAAATTAGCCATAAACAGAAGTTAAACATGACATGGTGTACCTCAACAAAATAGATTCTCCTGTATTATTACATCACAGCCTTACGCATACCCAGAAATGGGCCCTGATTTGGCTCCAAAGCCCCACATTATGCACATGTTTTAAAAAGTGTTGGACTATTTCATGTTTTCCTTCTACTGCCCTTTATCTGAATCTTTTCATCTCTCTCTCTCAAATTTCAAAAGGATGCAGTCGCTGACATGGACATTTGGAATATTTTACTTGACCTTCCGGCGGACCTTGAAACATGCACAGGAAATTTGGCGGGTATGCATATGCTTTGCTGCATTATTATAGTATTTTTGACATTCTTCTAATTATGGAATATTGTTATTTTAACTGTTTCTCTAACCTGCAGGATATTGTGAGGGAGAATTGCAGTCCAGCACTATGCCATTGATGGCGGGTGCCGTGAATTCTACTGGTACTGGAGGTACTGAGTTATTTTAGCACTGAGTTCCCATGTCTTTATTTTTTTTTTTATTGATATATCTGGAGTTAGTAACTTGGTTTTACATGACCCTATTGTCTCTCCTGTAGAGTCTCATCATGACCCTCTTGGCATGCAAGGAGAAACTACTGCTGCTGCTGGATCCTCCGGTGGTCCCAGCACCCAGTCCTCACAGCACAATGAAAAGTTTTAACTCTACCTTTGTCCCACTTTTATGTCATTTCCTACGGGACTTGTCAAATGGATGATACAGGTTTTTATGTTTATGTTGGCTTATCTAAGCTACGGGTTATGTTGGTGCAGCTGTTACCTAGAATGATATGAACTTAATTGCATGAACACTAATTAGCTGGTTGTCTTGAATGGGATATTTGCGCTGGATGTTAATTATATAAACTACATTTTATTTCCAGTGATTTTTATTTAGAGGTAGATTTTCTCTTGATCGCCCACTTCTATGTAGTTTCTTATGGGACATGTCACGTTGATGATGCACGTTTTATGTTCATGGCGGTTTATTGTAGCTATGGATTAATTATGTTGGTGCAGTTATTATTTAGAATAATATTAATTTAATTCCATGAACACTAATTAGGTGGTTGTGTCAAATGGGATGCTTGAACTTGATGTTAATCATATAAACTACAAGGTTTCATACCTCGCGATGCATGGAGAGTTAATAATGTTTTTTAGAGTATTTGTTATTAGCAATCCATCTTAATGCAATACAGTCTAGAAATATGAACTCATTCT